CCACTTCTGGCTTTTTTCTTTTTGCTTATGTGGTGCTGAGGAATCGAACCCAGGGCCTCATGCATGCAAGGCAAGCACTCTACCACTGAGTCACCTTCTCAGCCTCAGCAACATTTTCTTTTGTGGTGCTCATTAAATTCCAGAAATGAGTGTGGCTACTCAAAAGTCCCAAAATACTGTATGAATCCTATCCTTTGGATAAAACATGCATGGGAAAAGGACCAAAGGGAGATATGATAAAATATGAACAGCAGCTATTTCTTAGGGGTAGGATTATGGATGACAATCACTTTCTTTTATTGATGGTGGATAATAACTAGAGTTTATGAAGCAGTTGTAAGTATAACATTCAGTACAAGTATTAATTTACTTTTCCTCACAACAATCCTGCAGGAAGGTTCCTACCACTGTCATGTACAGATAAGCAAATGGCTCCTGGTGATTAAGTAATACATCTGACATCATACTACCAACAAGAGCAAAGTTGGGATTCCACCCTGATATCGTATTTCAGACTCCTAGATTTAGCAGCTATGCTATAATTATAGCCTTCTGTTTTATTTTTTGTTTTTTAGCTACTTTTTGTCTTTTACTTTTTGGTACTGGGGATTGAACCCAGGACATTGTACTTCTTAGGCAGGTGTCAGAGCAGCCTTTATAAATACCAATTACGAGTTTTGTAATAAAAAACAAAGTATAAACCCTTACTGCAACAGAACCATACTTTTCCTTTGTCTGGTTCTTTTTGTTATTTTGTTTTTTGGTGCTACTAGGGCTTGAAATTTGGGCCTTGTGCTCTTGCTCAGCTTTTTCATTCATGATTGTTATTTGAGCTACAACTTCACTTTCAGCTTTTGGCTAGTTAATTAGAGATGAAAATCTCACAAATTTGTCTGCTCAGGATAGCTTTGAACCTCAATACTCAGATCTCAGCTTCCTGAGTAGCTAGGATTATAGGCCTGAGCTGCTAGTGCCCAGCTAATACTTTCCTTATTATCCTGAATTCAGCAGTAAACAAAAACACTCTATCATTGGAATTTCTTTGGGAATTGATATACCTTGAAACTGATCTGTCGAGCCAGCTCCTTGGCTTCCTGGTCGGCCTGGCTTGAATCACTTCCAGACTTTAAAGGCAGAAGGACATCCTTCATGGCAGAGCCACAGCCTTCACAGCAGAAATCTTGTGATCTGGTTAAAAACAATTTTGTTAAATGCATATTAAAACAAAAGTTGAATTCTCTCTTATTGACACACTCAAATACTGAAGGAGTTAAAAATAATTTAAAAGCAAAGCACAGAGGTTGGGTGCTACTCAGGAGGCTGAGCTCTAAGGACTGTAGTTTGAAGCCAGCCTGGGTAGGAAAGTCCATGAGAGTCTTATCTCCAATAAACTACTTAGAAAAGGTGGGAAGTAGTGCTGTGGCTCAAGTGGTAGAGTGCTAGCCTTGAGTACCAAGAGGCTCAGGGACAGCACCCAAGCCCTGAGTTCAAGCCCCAGGACCAGCACAACAACAAAAAACAACAACAAAGCATTGAACACCTTCATATCACATTCATCCACATGCTCCTAAGTTAGAAAGTCAGGCAATCACTATAGCTCTGAGATAAGAATATGAGATAGCATGGTATAAAAAAGGAAAAAAAAAACAGGATTAAGATTCTATTGTATCAATAAATTCTCAAAAAAATAAGCCTTAAGTCTATTCAATGTCAAAATACATAAACTGTCTATGAAACAGACCTTAAGATTATATAAGACTACTTAAAGCTTGTTAATATAAATTACCTTTTAGCAGAAACATATAGAGAAAAAAACAACTAAAAATGTAATTTACAGGTGTTCTTTTCTGAAGTAAGGGTTATCCTCTACATCTTTCAGACACTAAAATCTAACTATGTGATTTAACAAACAATTGTAAAGAGCCTAATCTGGGTTGTGCTACAATATATTTTCTAAAAATTAATTAACATTATCTTCTGACATATGGCAGAAAGCAGACTTCCGTACAGGAATATTACCAAAGTCAAGAATTAGATCTCAGCACTACTCAAAGGAAAGGTTACTTTGAAAGACTGCTCATAGTTATGTAGACAAAAATAATTTTTTTTTAATCTGAGAAAAAGAAGGCATTACCACTGGGCTGTCACAAGTTCATAAATCCCCTTTACTTTATTCCAGAGCATGTAGTCAGTACTTGTTATGAACTATATATGTAGATACCAAGACAGATAAAGTGGATTCCCCATCAGTCCTCCGGGAGGTTTCAATCTCATAGAAAGCTATATAGGGGGCTGGGAAGGTGGCTCAGTGGTAGAGCGCTTGCCTTGCATGCCTGAGGCCCTGGGTTCGATTCCTCAGTACCACATAAGCAAAAAGATAAAAGCTGGAAGTGGCGCTGTGGCTCAAGTGGTAGAGCGCTAGCCTTGAGCTGAAGAGCTGAGGGACAGCGCCCAGGCCCAGAGTTCAGGCCCCACGACCTGACTCAAGAAAAAAAAAAAAAGGAAAAAAAAAGCTATATAGAAAGTAATTGTTCTGATTCTTTTCTATCTGTAATATAATCCAAATGGAAACAAATGACTGATAATGTTTTCTAGGAGAATATATCTCCCACGGAAGCATAAATATATCTCAGTGGAATATTATCAACTATTTTCTTCAAAGAATGAGATAGCTGGCCTGGAGGTATAATTCAGTGGTAGAATGCTAGCTTAGTAAGGGCAAGGGCCCTGGGATTGATCCCTGGCAAAAATAAAAACATGAAATCAATGATTATATGCTGATCACTCCAAAGAAATCAGAATTGGATTTCTGCCATTGCAATAATAAGACCAGAGCCTGTAGCCAGGGTTACTCAAAAAGTAGGCCAGAAGCCAGGTGCTGGTGGGTCATGCCTGTAATCCTAGCTACTCAGGAGGCTAGAATCTGAGGATTGTGGTTCAAATCTAGCCCAAGCAATTAAGTCCATGAAACTTATCTTCAATTAATCACAGAAGAACTGGAAGTGGTACTATGGTTCAAGTGGTGGGCAATAGCCTTGAGCAAAGAGGAGCTTGGGGACAGTGCCCATGACCTGAGGGCAAGCACCATGACAAAAAAAAAAAAAGTCAGCTTGTTTCCTAATCATCATTAATCACAACCACAATGGTACTGGGACGCTAATGAAAAATAAAATGAACCACTTACTTTTTGGCAAGTGCTCTTCTTTCCTCTGGTGTGTAATCTAGAGAGCCTATGGCTCCTTCTCCTTTTGTTGGCATGAACCCAATGATGGCTAGTAATGCTGTCCTTACTGAAATCAAAACAAGGAAACATTAAACTGAGTTACTCTTTAAAATAAACTAGGGGGCTGGGAATGTGGCTTAGTGATAGAGTGCTCATCTAGCATACGTGAAGCCCTGGGTTTGAATCCTTAGTACCACATAAGCAGAAAAAGCCACAAGTGGTACTGTAGTTCAATGGTAGAGTGCTAGCCTTGAGCAAAAGAAGCTCAGAAACAGTGCTCAGGCCCTGAGTTCAAGCCCCAGGGCTGGCAATAAATAAATAAATGAATAAATAAATAAATAAGAACTGGGTTTACTGGAATAAGAAAAAAGAAAGAAAGAAAGAGAGAGAGAGAGACTTACAGGCTTTCACAGAAGAGGTTACAAGTAGGGAGAATTATTTAAAACACCACACAAATCTAGATATGGAAACATGTTTTCATGGTTTAATAATATAAAATAGAGTCAACCTCATGAGTACATTAATTCATTATTATAAATGAGTGCTGTTAGGAGATTGATTCACTAGTAACACTCACTGCTCCATGAAGGCTGCCACGTTTCAGGATGATGTCCAGAGATGCTCAAACAAATTTTCTTGCCCACTTCAAACCGTCCATTAGCCTTAGAAATAGTATATTTAAAAAGTTATACAGGTGTGTTTAATGTGGTATCCTTTCCAAATATAAATGCATTTTGTAGTTACATATGAATAAAATTTTAATGCATATAACTTTAAGAAGCACATAATTTTTTGTCATACAGACATTCCAAAAAATATTTGCTGGATGCTAAATGAGTAAAAAGCTATTTTGAGATGTATTAGCACCTTTTTGAAATAAACGTATATAACTGGAATCTAAGCAATAACATATAAAGATTTGCTGATGCCCTGCCAGTGTGTACTACAGAGCTAGGCTCTGTTAAGGACTCTAATGAGAACACCTGTAAGAGGTCAGAACCTGCAGGAGACCCTAAGAGACTTAGTATCACCTAATTAGTAGGTTAGTGAGGAAAGGCATGGGGAGAAAAACTTTTTTAATATATATTTTTTTTTATTGTGAAGATACTGTACTGAGGGGTTACAGTTACATGAGCAAGGTAATGAGTTCATTTCCTATTGAGCATTGTTACTCCTTCCTTTGTTTTTCCTCTACCACTCCTCTCCTCCCTCGCCCCCTCCCCCACAAAGTTATAAAGTTCGTCTTCAACATAGTGTCTTGTACATCTTATTGTTACAATAGGTCATCCTGTATCCTTATTTCAGGATTTTGTTATTTCCCTTCCTCTCCCCAAATTAGAAAAATGTACACACAAGATGCAGGACACGGGAATCAAATACAGTGACTTATACCATGGGGGAAGAACATACAAAGAAACATCAAAAAAAAATCACATAGTACATTATAAGTACATTAAAAAGAAAAAGAAGCCAGGCACCTGAAATCCTAGCTACTCAGGAGGCTGAGATCTGAAGATCATGGTTCAAAGCCAATAAACCACCAGAAAACCGGAAGTGGCTCTGTGGCTCAAGTGCTGGAGTGCTTGCCTTGAGATGAAGAGCTAAAGAGCTGAGGGACAGTTCCCAGGCCCAGAGTTCAAGCCCCACAACTGACCAAAAA